TTAGCAAACGGGTTAGACCTTTAATCACGTTGTCATTCAATCATCCAAAACCCACTAAAGGGCTAGATGCACTTTCAGTGGGAGAATTCATTTTTCTTTTTCATAAGCAATTAGAAATAGTTTTTCTAATTTAATTTTTGAAGTGATCTTTGGTAAATCTATAAAATCGTGAAGATGTCCAAAAATTGTGAAACAAATTTTGTTAGGTTCCTAAAACTATGCTCTATCTGTTAGTGTATTTAGTTCACATATATACATGTTGATACTAGGAGCTATTAAATTATTTGAGAGTGCTTAATATTATTAGGTTAAATATTGTACTAATTTTTGTGGTAAATTGGTGATAACTTTAGTCCTAAAATTTTTATGGTAGCTTCGTTGTATTATTATGTGCTCACTGTAAGTTTTGTAGCTTTAAAATAGACTAATTATTAGGGTAGTTAAATGCTCTTTGTTTTAAATATGCATTAAATCATTAGTAGGAATAAAGATATATCCTTCATTTGTAAAGCTAGATGTTTGTTAGTTGAACCAACACTTTGCTTGGTAAAGATGATAGTTAGCTTAGTACCTTAGTCATTAGAGCTAGCTTAGTAGCTTAGCATGCGTATTCTTATTTTAAGAGTTGTTGTTGCTTAAATGCTAAACGTTGCATCATCATCGGATGCATGTAGAGAACAAGTTGGCGGAGATCTAACCACCGACGATCGTGAGTTTGAGGAGATTATCAAGAAGTATGAGAAGGAGATTCTCATACAGGAGGAGGTCCCAGAGCCACCACTGACTGACTCAGCTGACACCGCGCCTGCCAAGGCAAGTCCCGGTGCATAATCCTTATTTTTAATAATAACTGAATATATATGTGATGTGCATTTACGTTACAAGAATTTTATGGAAACCACATACATAGATATACCTTTCCTAAGAGTCTTACTAGTGCAGGTTCGAGTAGCTGCTATGCTTAGGTTTTTGGTAGCGTGAGTAAGCTATCGTTACTCATAATAGGAGATTATTATTACTCTCATAATAAAATAATGAAAGAAAAAATAGAGACAGGGCAGTAATATGGTATGGGTATTGGCGGTGTAACATGTTACACTATTTTCTCTGTTCGTGTCGATTAAGAACCGTCCGTTGCTATGGACGGTAGTCAAGTCACAGACTTATTATCCTGAGCACATACTTGCTTATGGGTGCGGGAAGGCTCGTTGCGCTCTTGTCATGGATTCCGACTCTTTTCGGACCGACTGATTGGAGGTGGGAAAAGGTGGAGGTCTAAGCACCATACTGAGACCAGGTCTCAAGTGTGGGAGCTTGGAGTCTAAGTTTGGATAGGGACCTAGACCCCGTGATAGGAGTAGAATAAGTTGGTCTTATTTGTGCCTAGGGTACAAACGGGGCATGTGTTTTGTGGTACCCAGCTGTGATACATTGGTTCATGAATCGTTATTTTCATGAGACGGTACTACTTGGCTATGGTCTAATGCTGTAGTAAGAACTAAAAGATGAAAGATGGTAAAATGGTTCTGATTGCTCAACTCTTGCTTGAAAATAGAACATGTGCTTACATAGAATGGCTAGCTAATGAATTAATCATGACTGCTAATTAAACTTGATCTTAAGGACCTACTTCTAGTAATGCTTTTCGCAAACAAAAGAAAACATCAAACCCATATTGCCTAGCATACTTCTTGAGAGTCGAGAAACTATTCCCACTAGTCGGGTAAGTCTTACGAGTACATTGTGTACTCAAGGTTTATTTACCCCTGTTGCAGGTACAGCCTGAGGAGTAACTCTTGTGTGGAGGATTCTTCTAGTGGGCACAGACGGATCCTTGTATCATTTTCGCTAGATGTTTATTTTCATTTCGCTATTTAATTATTGCACTATGAGCTCTGGTATTGTAATAAATAATTTTTAAGAACTCTTATTGTATGAAATGGACTGAGTATTGTAAGCTCATACTCATTATTGGATTCTGGATGTAAAATATGGATTGTTTTGAGTTCTCTCTTGGAGTGCGCTTGACGGAACTGTCCAATGTAGCTCACTTTCGAGGTGTTTAGTGTCTAGTAAAAGACGAGCGTCTCCGAAAGCATGTTATTTCGGACGGTTCTGCCACAGTCATCTTCGTTTTATCGCTAACGCGTCATAGTCGCCGGTCCGTCGCTGCGTCGCCATGCAGACCGCTACCGAGCCGCCATGGCTACGGCCGCGCTCAACATGAACCCTAACTCGATCAACCACCACCATGAATCAATGCGCTGGGTCACCGTGGTCACGTTGATGCCGGTCCGGTCACCGGGGACCTCGCCGGTGGTGTGTACCTGCCGGACAGCACGGCATCTCGCCGGGGTTGACCCGGGGTCCTGCTGTCAGTCGTTGTGGCTGGGAGGGGGCTAGGTGCAAAATGTTTTCTTTGGTTTATTCTTTTTGAGATAATAATTAAAATGAGCTGATTCTTGTTTATTTCATAAATAAATAATTTGAGCAACGAAAATTATGAAATTTTTTGTATAGATTTGTTATGTGATGATCTATCATGGAGAAATATGCATTAGCTAAAATAAATAGTTTTTGCATACTTAAAAATTACCTCTTTTAATTATAAAATGGTCCTTGTATAATTTTTATAGGCTAAAACAATAATCTTTTGGTCATGAAACTTTTTGTGTATACGTTACATGCTTAGACCTGTCTTCACACAAATTTTGGTACTATTTTAATAATTTTAGTTATTCATCTAAATGTAAATGCCTTTATTCTTTATTAATAATTACCAAAATGATTAAGATAAACCCTTAATTAACTTTGATGTGATTTTGGGATTGATTGTGGACCTTGGAACACTACCTCTTTGATGTTTCTTGGCAACTTAATCACTTCCTTGTTATGATCATAATCAACTTAGTGATAATGATAATAATAACTAAAACTGCTTTTTGCTAACCAACTTGAATAGTATCGTGAAGAAAAGTTGTACTCAAGTTTGATTGTCTTGTTGAATTCATCCATACTCTTGGGTACCTCTCATCATGCATCATGTTTAGCACTTCATCATGTTAAGGATGTATCCTTTATTCACGTGTAGCGACCGAAAGCGAAGAAGTAACCGTTGATCAAATCCTAGAAGAAGAGCATCCACAAGTGGAGGTTGGGTTTGACATCTGTGGCTCATCGGGAGAACCTAACACCTCTATTAACCAAAGCAAGTCCTGGAGCATTCAAACCGTTCCTTGTAGTTACAAATACTTTTATAATTCGAATCCTATAATATGTGCATTAAGTGATATAGGAATTGGTTGAAGTACCAATTGCTGCATGCCTACGTTGATATTTCATACTTTCCTTGTTACCCTTTAGTAGTTATAGGCTAGAGATGCTTAGCCCTGCTTAGCTCCTAGAAGTCGGATGATGAGTTTATCATTCGAACCAATATTTTCTTTTCTTAGAAGTAAATTAATGGAACATGAGACATGGTTAATATGAGACCGGGCGGGTGTTAGCTTGCATCAAGAATGGAGTCTTGATGTAGTGCTCCGCCTGTGTCGATTAAGGACCGTTCTGATTGTAGACTTGCTGATCAAGATTGAAAGTACTTAACTGCATGCCCTCGGTAAGGCTAAGTACCTCGGCTATTCCATTATGCGAACGGACAACCGCGCACTGGGAGTGAAGAGATGGCGGGTGTACCGTGCATCCACCCTGCGAGATAACTGTTCGAGACGGAGCAGGGCGGTGGAGTACTGTGCTCTCGGGTGGCGCGAACCCATTCATGTTTTGGAGGATCCGAGGGAATGGTTGATATATGTAGGTCTGGGACCTGCATATATCGTGCTGGTTAAGGTTTACTCCAGCTGGATGTACATCGATTCGAATCGCCGTCTCTCCCGGATAGTGAGAAACTTGATCACTGCTCTGCATCGTTGTAAATCAATGGAACAGGGTTACTTATGGATATGAGATGAAATGAGGAGGGATGCTTTAAGAAATGATTGATTTAGATCAGGTGCAAACCGGATACTAATAATGACTTAAGTTTGAAACTAAAAGTTGAAATTAAGGATCTACTTGCATTAAGCTTTTCCGCAAAGTATTTTGCATCCTGCCAAACTACCTTAAGCTTTCATATCCTTCTAGTCTTTTCTTTTTGTCGGATAAGATTTATTGAGTACCCTCAAGTACTCAGGCTTTGTTAACCCCTGTTGTAGGATTTGACTTGTGCTGCTAATGAGGTTATGTCGGTGGGCACAACATGATCTGACGTTTCCTCCTACCTTAGGTGCTTCTCCCAAGTTGTTTATGTAGTTCTCCTCACTTTTTAAAACTTAAGTTAAGTTTTACTTAATCATATTTTGTAACATATTGTTGCAAATCTTCCGCAACTATGATGTATGAAATTTTTGTATTAATGTTGTAATGTTGTGGCAACTCTATTGTTGATCCTGTATGAGTTGAAAAATATGAATGATTCGGGGTTCTCCGAAGACATCCAACGTGCTACCGGATTATCTGGCTTTTGTATACAGCGGTAAGAGGTTTTTAGAACAATGACACGTACACGTGAGCCAGCATACGCCGCACGAGATCCGCTGGGTGGCAGTACAGGTTCTTCCACCTCCAGTCCCCATCGACGATGCCTTGGCCATGCGCGGTGAAATGGGGAAAGCCAAGCAGAGCAGCTGTCCGCTTGCCGGAGGTGACATGGGACACGGTCGTGAAAAAGCTGTTGGAGAGGGCGGGGGGCTCAGCCATTGATGTCATAGAGTTTCTCTCCCGGCGCAGCCCGCCCGTCGTCGCCCCGCCGCAAGACGCACCGAGAGACAGAGTTCGACTTACCTTTACCCCGCAGCAGAAGCACAAGCTGGTCAAAGTTGGAGCCGCCGGCGCCGCAGCAGCTCCCACTAACGAGGAAGCGCAAATCCTTTGCCGACACGCACACGCACACGCGGGGATTGGTCGATTGCATCGCGGAGGCGTCAGAGTTGGCGAAGAGAGCCATGACAGAGCTTGATGAAAAGGGAAAGGAGTTGCAGGCGACCAGAGGGGAGGTCGCCCACCTCAAGGAGCAAGTGCGCGCCGTGAGAGACAAGCACGCGGGCGACGTCGCTCAGCTCAAGGAGGCGTTGAGCGTCGCAAATGCTCACCGCGCGGCCGAGGTCCGCCGACTCGCGGATGAGCATCACGAGGCACGCACCGCGCATGGCAAGGAGATGAAAGCAGAGCGCACGTCCGAGGTGGAAGCATGGCGAGGAGATGAAAGGCGAGGAGATGAAAGCAGGAGGAGCACGCAGCTGCAGTCGCACGGCTCACAGAGCGCCTCAACAAGGAGCACGCTGCTGCTGTCGCTCGGCTCAAGGAGGAGCACGCGGATGGCGTCGCTCGGCTCAAGGAGAAGCACGCGGCTGAGGTCGGCCGACTAGCAGACGACAAGGCAGAGCGCGCGGCCGAGGTGGCTAAGCTCCAGGACGAGCACGCTGCTGCTGTCGATCGGCTCAAGGAGGAGCACGCGGCCGACGTCGCCCGCGTGAAGGACGGCGCGGACAAGGAGGTGCAGGATGCCAAGAAGAACTTCGTGCTCCGCCTCTTCCCAAAACTGGACGTCTCACTGCTGGAACGACCAAAGCTCAAGGGAGATCACGCTGCTGCCGGAACGCCCAAAGCTCAAGGGAGATCCTGATAAAACTGCAGATCTATCTGTGGCATCATGAACCAGTGAGTTGTTTGTGATCTTGCAGTTTATGTACTTTTTGTGTGTTTCTGTTCTGTAGAGTTTTCTCCCCTTTTGTATTTGCACTTATTAATGGACAATGGTGGCATAGCCCACATATAGTTCATCATCTGCATACTGAAAATTACTATTAGATGTGTGATTCATCTCTTTGTTACGAGAAACTACATGATAGTTTGGCACCATGCAAGATGTTATTGAGGACTAAATGGTGACTTAGTATATGTGGACACCTTTGGATGACAAATGTGGTACTAAGTAATACAATATCATGACTCATGTATGTAACTGCCTCATATAGGATCTTCCAAATGTGTATTATAGTGATTAAGCATAATGATACAAGAAATAACATGAGAGAAATGGTTGACCACACTGTCTTACCACATCCATTTTTAAGAAAATAAATGTTAAATTCGCAAATTTATTTCAATGTCAATGTATTATCATATCATCTGAGATGACACAATTATAAGCAGCTATAAAGAGCATACAAACTAATCATGAAACCCCTCACTCAACTCTAGTATTAGTTGTGAAGAACTCTGTCACTTATAATTGAAGTGCCTTGATGGAACCGATAGTTGTTCCCAGGCCTGAACGTGAACGCCGGCGACGACGCGGTGACCGCGGCAAGAGCAAGATCTAGAGCAGATCGAATGAACTCGCGAGAAGACAAAGTATTATGTCGCTGCCCGCAACGCAGCTTGCCTGGTCTCTATATTCATGTATATATAGTGTCTAGATACAGACCTGGGTACATACGACCCACCCCGCGTCATCCGAACAAAGTGCGCCGCGCCGTTGCTCAGCGGTGCGCGCCGTGTACGCCGTGGACGGCATGACGCGGGTCGACCATGGACTCTGGGCCTGATCTGATCTTGTACACCTAAGAATCAGATCCACCCACTATCCTAGCTAATGCATATCTTAACTAACTAAGAAACAAAAGATTACATTATATCTTGTGCGACAGTTTGGCTAACAAATCACCCCTCAAATCTATTGCACCTGCACCACTCCTAGAGCACTCCTGAGTTCCACAAATCTCACGCGCCCCAGCGACTTGGTGAATATGTCGGCGAGCTGCCCGGCAGTCCCAACATGATCAACCTCCACCTTGCCCTCCTCAATACACTCACGGATGAAGTGAAATTTTGTATCGATATGCTTACTTCGATCGTGATGTACTGGATTCCTGCTTAGCGCTATTGCGGACATGTTATCCATGAGTAGCTTCACTGGTGCCTCTTTTGTTCCCATCATATCTGCAATTAGCCAGCTCAACCAAACACCCTGACAAGCTGCTGCTGCCGCTGCTACGTACTCAGCTTCGCAAGATGAGAGCGCCTCAGTCTTCTGTTTTTGTGACGACCATGTGACCAAGCTATTGCCGAGGAAATAAACAACACCCATAGTGCTTTTCCTGTCCTCAACGTCTCCTGCAAAGTCACTGTCGCTGAATCCAAGTAGCATTGGTTTCAGCTCTGCTCCCTTCTCATATCTGCAGCCATATCCTATTGTACCCTTCAAGTATCTTAGAATATGCTTCACAGCTGCCCAGTGTTCCTTTCCTGGTGCCTCCATGTACCTACTCACCACTCCGACAGCATATGCTAAGTCTGGTCGAGTATTAACAATGTACCTGAGGCTACCAATTATGCTACGGTATGCTGTTGGATCCACTGCATCCCCTTCCTTCTTCTTGCTGAGCTTGAGCCTGCACTCCATAGGTGTGTCACAGGAGTTACAGTTCTTCATGCCTGCCCCTTCAAGTATCTTGAGAGCATATGCACCTTGACTTAGAGTAATATGTCCCTCTCCTTGCTTTACTTCGATCCCTAAGTAATAGCTGAGAAGCCCCAAATTGCTCATCCTGAATTTCTTCATCATCTCTGATTTGAACTTTCTGATCTCATCAACACTAGGACCTGAGATAATCAAATCATCCACATAAACTCCCACAAGAAGGAAAGAGTTCATGCCGCTCCTCCTATAAACAACATTATCCAACTTGCTCTTAACAAAACCGAGAGCAATAAGCTCCTTGTCAAGCTTTGAGTTCCATGCTCGAGGTGCTTGCCTAAGACCATACAAGGCCTTTTTCAGCTTGAGAACTTTGTCACCTTTGCCAACAACAAAACCTAGAGGTTGTTGCACATAGACAGTTTCAGTCAGATCACCGTTGAGAAAAGCATATTTCACGTCCATATGATGAACTTCTCAACCACCATGAGCTGCAAGTGCCAACAACACTCTTACAGTTTCAATTCTAGCAACTGGAGCAAACACTTCATCGAAGTCCACTCCCTAACGCTGAGCATAACCTTTTGCAACCAATCGTGCTTTGTGCTTGACAATGTTTCCATCTGGGTCCTTCTTGACTTTGAAAACCCACTTTAAGCCAATTGCTTTTTGTTTAGGAGGGAGATCACTGACAACCCAAGTTCTGTTGTCTTCAATTGCCGTCATCTCCAACTCCATTGCCTTCCTCCAACACTCTTCTGACATAGCATCCTCTATTGTCCTTGGCTCTTCAGCAGCAACCAAATAGAGCCCACTGTACTCGAACCCCTGCACCTCATTTGTCATATCTAACAGATTGGGAATAGTCCTGTATCGAAGTGGTACCCCATCAGAGAAATCACTGTCATGCGTGGGAGGAGTTGCCCATTGTATCTGCTGATGTGGTGGCGTGTGTGGAGGTGTGGCACCCCCCGAATGGAATTGAGGCAGCAGGCGAGGCCGGTTCCCCCTGACCGTTTTCTGAAAACACCCCGTCGTCTGCTTCAGGTCCTACTATCGGACTAGGAACAGTACTATCAAAGTACTGAACTGAAAAGGTTTCAGGCGCCGCCGTCTGCTCCTGCGCCCTGCTTTCCTTTCCCTCCCAATTCTAGGCCGTCTGCTCATCGAAGATTATGTCACGGCTCACCATCAACTTATCCTTCACCGGATCATACACTCGATAGCCCTTTGTCCCCATTTCATAACCGAGGAACACCCCTGGCACTGACCTATCAGAAAGTTTGCTGATCCCACGGCCGACTCGCTTCACATAAGCTACGCAGCCAAATGTGCGAAGATGCTTGACTCCTGGTTTCTTGCCATACCAAACTTCATACGGTGTCTTGCCACTTAGGCTCTTCGTGGGCGATCGGTTTAACAAATAGACTGCCACCCGGACTGCTTCTCCCCAAAAATGAGCTGGAACGCTCATGCTTTTCAGCAAACACCGTGCCATCTCGACTACGGTCTGATTACGTCGCTCCACTACTCCATTCTGCTGCGGAGTATACGATGTGGTCGTATTGTGCTTGATCCCATGATCCTAGCAAAAAGTCACAAACGCGCCGGAATTAAATTCCCCACCACGATCTGAACGGAACGCTCTGAGCTTGCTCCCTGATTCCAACTCCACCGCCGTCTTGAACCTTTTGAAGTACAACAGTGCTTCATCTTTGGTGGCCATCAGTTCTAGCCACATATAGCGGCTATGATCATCGACGATGAGGAGGAAAAACGATTTCCCTCCTGGTGTGGGTGGGGTGACATGCCCACACAAATCAGCATGCACCAACTCGAGCACCTCGGATGCGCGATACGCCAAAGCCTTGGGGAAGGGCGTGAGATGCTGCTTGCCCAACGCGCATCCGTCATAGACTTGCTCGACACGTCGTATTACCGGCATGCCCACAACCATCTCCCTAGCACTGAGCTCGCGTAGAGACCTGAAATTCAAGTGTCCATACCGAGCGTGCCAGAGCCACGCGACATCGTTCATCTTTGACACCAAGCATACAGGTGTCGTCAGCTTCACCTTCATGATGTAGAGCCGATTCTTGCGTTCTGTCTTGATCAACACACCTCGGTCTTGGATCCCTTGCTGAGGGCGCTCGAACACCTTCATGATGCCATGTTCAATCTCGACACGGCACCCTCCTTCCTCCAGCTGACCGAGACTGACAATATTACACTTCAAGGACGGGATATAATACACCTCAGAGAGCACGCGATGATCCTGGTTTCTACCGGCGATTGTCACCGCCCCGATCCCACAGATTTCGACCTTGGACCCATCACCAAATTTGACTGCTCCCTTAACCGTCTCATCAAGGCTGGCTTGTGCAGCCCTACATCCCGTCATATGGTTCGTCGCTCCAGTGTCTAGCACCCACAACCCTTCCTCATAATCTGACGGGATCACGCGTTCTTGATTCAAGAACACATGGGGAGACGTCACATTGTTGGTTCGCACCAGGTTACAAACCTGTGCGACAAGAAGTGCTGGATGTGCATCAGCGTCAGCATTGGCATGATGGACTGCCTCTGTCACCTCCTTGCCTGCCTTCTTGCATTCTCTGGCCCAATGGCCATAAACTTTACACTTGTTGCAACGTCCCTTGCGTCGTGGCATGCCCGAGGACGTGCCTTCCTTGCCACCGGAGTCACGAGAGTCACGGTTTCCACCGTTGTTGCCTCCTCGCCCCCCGAACTTGTTCTTCTTGGCATACTGGCCATTACCACCACCCTTGCCTCCTGATGATGACGAATCTATCACCATCCGAGCTTTATGCTTCGCCCAATCTTCCTCCGTCATCATGAGTTGCCCTTGCTTGTTGGTCACTTCCTCCACGACGGGCTCAAACCGATCTTCTGCTGCACGCAAACGACCGACTAATTCTTCCACCGACAAGGTCTTGAGATCACAAAACATCTCAATCGTGACTACAACTTGATTATAATATGGTGGCACAACTCTGAGGAATTTCTTCACGACACGAGCATCATCAACACTCGTCTCCCCTAGGCCTTTGAGATCGGTTGCAATTTTACCAATTCTCACTGCGAAGTCTTCAATTGTCTCGCCCGATTTGAACGAGATTGCTTCAAACTCTATTAGCAGTTTCTGTGCATTCACCTCTTTCACCCTATCTGCACCCAGACGC